ATATATATATATATATATATATATCAATAAAATCTCAAATCTCCTCATATAGGGAATAGTCTATTTCAACAGACGACGATATCAGTCGTCTGTCTTATAAACCCTGGTATGGACTGAGTTCATGACAGAAACACTGTTAAATCTCTATTTCTGACAGGAACTCAGTCCAAACTAGGGTTGACAAGACAGACGACCAAAATCTTCGGCTACCGAAATAGCCTATTCCCCATATGAGGTGATTTTTTTTTATTTTATTGTTTATTAATTATTTGCTCTGTAATATTAAATCCATTGCGCACTATTTGTAGATCAGTTTTAATATGTTATATTACTAGGATCCACTTGGATTATATACCAACGGATTTGTTACCTTTACGATATATATATATATATATATATATATATATATATATATATATATATATATATATATATTTCACAATTGGAATTATGATGCAATTAGTTAATGACCATTTTCACCTGCGAATTTAAAATTTAGAATTCGCGGGATTTTTCACAATGCATATCGTGTCTTCTACAAACTGATACCATAAACTTCGTTCTGACTTAATGTCACGTGATAAATCTGGAAACACACAGACCAGACGCTGTGTGTCTTGTGTGTCTTCACGGTCAAATCGGTTTACTTTTATATTTGGATAGAGTTGTATTTCATGAATGAATAGATAAATAAATAGAGGAATGAATGTAAAAACTATCTGATCCACGTCTTCCACGCCACGCGATAACATCCAAGTGCTCCTGAAATTCTCTATCTTTACAGAAGAGGCCTTGAGAGAATTCAGAAGTGTCCACGCGGCCTTGACAGTGTTCAAAAGTGTCTATGCGGCCTTGATAGACTTCAAAAGTATCTCAGAGACCTTGAGAGAATTCAGAAGTATCTACGCGGCCTTGACAGTGTTCAAAAGTGTCTATGCGGCCTTGATAGACTTCAAAAGTGTCTACGAGGCCTTGAGAGAATTCAGAAGTATCTACGCGGCCTTGACAGTGTTCAAAAGTGTCTATGCGGCCTTGATAGAGTTCAAAAGTGTCTCCGAGACCTTGAGAGAATTCAGAAGTATCTACGCGGCCTTGACATTTGCCAATGTAAATTACTAAAATATACTTTTTTTTTAGTTACGAAATTTAATAAATAAAGAATAATGAAAGAAACTGACATAAAATTCACAAATTTTTAGGAATGATTAATACATTTTTATGCCAATATTATAATATATTAGAACGTAAACGGTTTGTTCTAAAAATGCCATAATATTTAGTTCCATGTCCAGCAACATATGTTACGATTGTAGGTCAACTACTACTAGTGACTGGCCGCTTTATTCCGAGTATGTCTCTCTACAAGGGAGGCTAGACAATCCCTGTTGCCGATGCCTGCTCAGGCACATTTGCGTTTGTTCAACACTCACGGAGACGACTTATGGTTTCTAATACGACTTTTCTTTTTAATCGTTATCATCCCAAGCAAGGCAATAAAGCCACTAAGACACAAGGGGTGTGGAATAATAAGGAACAGAAACATTAACAATGAGTAGAATGTGGAAAGAGCAGCCAGGAGATCAGTAGACAGCCATTGACATCGCATTTAAATTTTTGCAGATTAAAGTTGGCTTGAAAGCATGGAACCAGGAAGGAGTTCCACAAGCGAGAAGTGCGAGAAAAGAAACTGTAAGCATAGAACTTGCGGTTACACCTAACCGGCTGATCTGTAAATTGATGAGATCTCGATGTCAGTCTGCGCTTAAATTCATATAAGTCTAGGTAACACAGCGAAGAGCTCATCCGAACAATTAGCATGAAAGTATTTCTAGAAAAGGCACACAGAGACAACCTTACAGATTTGAGGAGAGAGCGAATTATCTGACGTTGTCTACAGTCTGAACAAAGCCAGCACCCTCATCCCCTCGGTCACGATGACTTGTGACTTCGTGCTAGCACAATCATCAATGGCTCCCAAATAGTTACGTCAACCCATATTTCACTCACAAGGTTTGGGTTTTCAGACACTTTCCAAGGATGTCGTTCACAGGGACCCTCCCCATTCCCCGCCCCATCCGCCCCTCCAAGCGGATAGCATCAAGAATTCAACTTCCTGATGAATTGACGATCAGCGAGATGTGAACTGTTCAAACCATGTGTATGGTGCACGAACTGAATCATTATAATATAGATTCAGTTTTCGAATGCTTTCTGGATAGATCTCCTGTAACATATGTTGCATTTGTAGGTCAGATACTACTAGTCGTGGCTGGCTGCTCTATTCCGAGTATGTCTCTCTACCAGGGCGACTTTCTGGACAGATCTCGAAAAAAAAACCCCAAAAAACTTTTGAATATTATGGCTGGGTGACAGAATTAATTTTAACTCGGAACCCCAAAAGAGTAATTTGCAGTTCAAGTCCCCACGGTTAGATTCTAATAAAAAAAATTTCCCAAATAGTTCCATTTAAGTGTAAATGTACATGCTTAATTCGAAAATA